CATATTTTTGTTTATACCTTTTGTACTGTATTTTGTATTGCTTTATGAGTCGTGCTTAATGCAAATCCCATCCATCAAAACTTAAATTTATATAAAAACGCAATTTGAAACAATATCTATTAATTAGGAGATTAATTATTATAATATCTAAAATTTGTTTAAATACAGAATGCAATTGTTCAAATACAAAAATTAAAAAAAAATCAAATTCTCAAATAATGTAGTGCATCTCTGAATGCATGTTCATTTTTAAATTGAACAAGCTCTCCCTTTCACTGTCTCTACAGAAGCTCTAAGTCTTTCAGCGTCTCTACAGAAATTCTAAGTCTTTCAGCGTCTCTACAGAAACTCTAAGTATTTCAGCTTCTCCGGTTGAAGCTTGCATCCATCTCTGCAATTTTAGACTCCTCAGCTACTAAAACCTAATAAAACAGATTCACCATAAGTTAGGTCAGCTCATAATTCGGATATTGGTACAGGAATTTGAAGAATCCATATTTGCTGCTGAGACTACAATATGGAAGATAAGAAGCATATGAATAAATGTATTTAATTAAGATAGCCTTGTATCCATCATACCATGATACTTTGTAAATGCACCATGATTTGCACTTCCAGCTACCATTCTATAACACTTGCAGATTGTTCATTTTCGTTTTTTTCCAAAGAATTAATTTAACATGGGGACTGATCTACTAATCAACAATTCAGATCTGCTACAGAACATAAATTCCTCTGCCCTTCCTCAACCACCTGCTCATTTTAGACAAAACAGAACATAAACCAGCTCCTAACATCTCCCAATGTCCCCTTCTAACTGTCAAAGCTAATAAACTAAATGAATTCTTCTCTCGGACTGTTTTAAACAGAAATTAGTGATTGTCCCAGCAAATAATCCAGTGACCGTACCCACTCAGATGCATCTTGAACACTTTCTGTTTTATAAATGGACTTGACAGTGTTTCAAGCATGTTTCTATTCATATACTTCAATTTTGATTACTGGAAAAAGTGTTATGATATATTTAATTAATATACCTGTCAATCCGAGACAAGGTATTTTCGGATGACATAATCACCACAGGTATCTCTTTGAAGGTCGAAGATTCCTGCATAGAAAGATTAAGGAAATAAGTAATTACCGAATTCAGTATCTTTCGAATTAATCCGTTGAAATGCTATAAGAATATATATGAATTGAATCTAACTAACCTAGATTTTCTTGAGCAACTCATATCCAGTCATCCCAGGCATAATCAGTGATTATCATATTCAACTTCAAACCCTGCAATTAATATCAGATGAAAAGATTTAATTAATCACTAAAAAAATAATTCCAAGGAATCATTTATATTGACTACAACTTACTAAATTCTCTTACACCCATGCCGACTGCAGAGTTTTCTTCCCCATCCAAACCCAGAAATTTCAGAGCACTCCTTCCACTATCCACAACAGTAACTAAGATTTCAACAATATTTATTTAGATAACAAAAAAAAGTTCAAAACAGAACACTAAAAAACAAAAAGAACAAGATGAGAACCAAATGCAACGAAGAATAATTTGAAAATGACCTTTGCAAGAAGAGATCTTGAGCAGACGCTCAATTACTTTCCGATCAACAAAACTATCGTCAATCGCAAGAACATGTACTTCATCAGATTCCGCTGACGATAGTGAAGGATCGATTTCTTCATAACACTCCTTCAAATAAGGATCAAAATGTTGGAAACTCCCCAGCTTCTCTCTGTCATTCACTTTCAAACCTCGTTATCTCTCTGTTTCAAGTNCTTTTTTAGAAGCCAATTTTAGATACACTAGCTATCTTTCCAGTCTGCAAATCACCCCGAATTAATATCTTCATATTCTCTGTATCACTAGACAGTAGCACCCAAATGGTGAAATGAACTCATCCATACCRTTTCAAATTTTCATATAGAAAATATTATGGAAAGGTTTATCAACAAAAGACAAATGTTATCACTGGCTACATAGATTTAACTTGTTCTCTCTGCTCAGAAAATCCTAAAACCTTCCATCATTTATTTTATCCTATTGAAATGGTATCGGAATCTCAAACTYACATATTCAAAACAGATTGCCACTCAGTTCTTTAAGACTCTTCTTACACCCCATTGGAGATCATTGCCAAATGGAGCACATACTTCACACCACTGATACACAGAATCATTAACTTTTGAGATGTGAAGCTCAGTCATGGATCAACAAACCATCTTGTAGTATTTACCAATGGCTTCACACAAATAATCAAGGCATGGAAGAGTATATCCTAATAAAGTATAATTTCATTAGCCAAAAAAGGGCAATTACCCCTAGACATAAATCAGCAACTATACAGTGAGAAGCTATACAGAAAACTAAGAGGTATTGCAAAAAGAAAGCAAATGACATCCCTCATAAAACAATATTTTAACTCATAAATATTTCTTTAGGTGCAACCAAAAAATGGACAAAAAAACAATGTCAAATGCATGATAACCCAAAAAAAAAAAAAGAAAGCTACTGAATTTGAACCAAGGCAAATATTATTGAAATCTGTAAAGTAGATAAATGAGTCCCAATTATATGATAGTTGCATAATGATTTAATGATACAAATTAGTCCCAAATTAGATCTCCGAATGATATTCTAGAACCAACATCTATAGCAACAAAGTAGCCAAAGCCAAAACTTGGGAAAAGATAATGTRGAATTACTTGTAAGGTTCTGGCAGCATCAAAATCACAGAGAAATGGAATGTCAAACTTCGAATCTTCATTCAGTATTTTAATATTACTAAAGACAAATTATTTAACAAAGTAGAAAGGATTGATGCACTTACAACTTTACGGATCAAGGGCTCCAAAGTAGAAAGGATTGTCTAAATGGCTTGCATCTTCATCACTTCCAATACCACACTAATGTCATAATAAGACATCAAAGAAAAAAAAAAAAAAACAGAGTTAGAATAACTTTGTTCTCTGCATCATGAGTTAATTGAGGTGTCTTGTGGTATGCTAGGAAAGGCAAATAGCTTTGTTCTCTGCTACCCAGACTACTAAGGTTTGTATTTCAAATTCAAAATTTTACTACTCATTCTTCCTATTTTGGTAATCTCAGATTGCAGGTTGAAGATCTTGCATGCTTGTCTTTTCAGATAACTCCTGTATATATTGGGGTTGAAGATCTCTGTYCACTCCTTGCCAAAGCATCTATCAATCTGTTAGCTGATCTATAAACCCAAGTTGCATATACAATTCTGTTTCTTTTGAGCTCATCATCTCCCTCATAATGTTTCTATATTGTCCAGGAGTTCTTTCCTCATCCTGCATCCAGCCCACCACCAATTTGGGTTCTCCCTTAATTGACAATTTTGTATAGTTTAAGTCTTTTCCTAGTCTAAACCTTTGCAGCACTCTCTGCCCTTGTTGAATCCCATGGCCTGCTGTTTCAGAATGAGAATCCATTCTACTCTGTATATGGATAAAGCACGAATCGACCAATAGTATAATCAATCAAATTAGGAATATCTGTGGAAGTTGTCTTGGTTAGATATTCTTTCACACGAGCCTGAACCATCTTCACAGTATAATCAATCAAATGAGGAATATCTATGGAAGTGTTCTAAAAAATGAAGAACACTTATATGGAGCGGGCAAATTTGTTACTCGATAGTTTTGTTACTCAGAAGGAAAATAACATCACACATAGATCGTTACCAAGAAAGCACATGGATTCCATAATAAGATAACATCCCAAGTCTAAAGTATATAGTTGATGAGAGAGAGGAGAAGGCACATTACCTCAGTCAACTCAGTCCCGGATTTGAAGTTGATATCTTCTACGATTAGAAATGGTGGTACCATGTGATCATTTTGCGGTCAGAGAAGTTGGATGAGGACGAAGAAATATTTTACAGAACAGATTAAAGGTTTAATGAAGTGAAAATGAAGGAAGATCATACATACCTCTCTGGAAATAAAGGCAGATCGATGGATTTGGAAAATAAAGTCGGATCTCTCTTCCGATGAGGGAAGCGACCTAAAATCGAAAAAAAAAAATCAAAATGAGAGTTCAACTTCAACGATCGAATCGAAATGAGAATATATTTGCCTCTCTCATTTCCAGAGATCGAATGCAGAAATTGTTACCTCTATCGCAGAACCGTTCTCTTCTCTATCGAACGCTCRAAGAGGACTTTGSATAAAACAGTCGAAACCGAATGGAGAATGAAGATTTTTACCTCCCCGCGCGCGTTTGAACGGAGAATGAAGATTTTTGCCTCTCCGCGCGCGTTCAAACGGAAAATGAGGAGTTTTGCCTCCCCGCGCGCGTTTATTCTATACCAGTCTTTTAGACCGGCACTACAACAAAATCGATATATAGCGGCGGATTTCTTAGCGACACTAAGAAAGACGCCGCTATATATCTTTTTTTCAACCGGCGAGTAGTGTAATCCGCTGCTGTAGGTGCGGTTAGGTATAGTGGCGGATGAATATTTGCCGCTATAGAACACTCAAACTAAAATCATCAAAAACATAAGAGCACGGTTAAATCTTTTATCCCGCGCAAATAAAGCGCCCACCTTCCCTCGTCTTCCCCCAAAACCTCACCAGCGAAAAACCCCTCTCTTCTCTTTGCAGATTCCAGGTTTCCAAGCTTTTGCTCGTCATCTGTCGCCTCTCCTTCCTTCGGCATATGAGAAGAACCAACTGAAACTCCGGCTAGGTAAGTCACTGATTTCTCTCATAATCTCTCTCATAATTTTTTCTTTTCGTTCGTTCCCTATTTTACTGCAGCAGACCAGACGAAACTCTTCTCTTTGCCGATTAGACCATCGAAGTGAACTCCCTCATTGCCATTCCTCCCTTCGGCAGATGAGAAGAACTGAACCGAAGTGAACTCAGGTAAGTTGTTGCACCGATTTCTCTCTCTCCCCCTTTCATCTTCCTTTTTCTCTCATTCTCTCTCTTACACTTTTTTTTTTCTTTTTTCGTTTGTCCCATTTTTTATGCAGTAGATCAAACCATCAAAGGAACCATCTTTGAGTATACACTCTCATCCCTCCCTGCAACATCAAGATATGGTTTGATTAAATCCTTTATAAAAAGAAAGACACAACCAAGAAGAAATAGGAAAATAAAAAATAAGCAAGACCTAACCAAAATTTTTGCTCCTTCTGAGTTTTCTAAGTTCAGCATTCTAAAACTCTTACCACGTGAACATGGTGTGTTTTGGTATCAATTCTTTCTTCATTTTCCATTGTCTTTTGTTTTTAAATTATTCTACCCAAATTATTTTTTTTGGGAATATTAAGCATTCCCTATTTCCTTGAATAAATTTAAAAGTAAAATGTTTATTTGATTATATCTCAGGGAGAGCATCTAAACATAGTCGATTTTACTATCTCTTGAATATTTGGATGGGCTTTGCAGGTCAAACTTTTCTAACCGTACAAGAAGCCTTCCATTTTCCCTCTACTATTCTCAGCTCAACATCGATCTATCTTGTCAACAGGTAAGTTATCTCTTCTTAATTTTCCTTTTCCCTTCTACTCTTTTATACCCAGTTTGTGGCGTAAGAACCATTTCTTGTTTACTCAGTGTAGCAAGGGATGTTGGAGTAATTTTCAAGTGGGTAAAGAGGTCAGCCAATTCTGTGACTGATACTTTGGCAAAGCAGGGGACCTTCAGGGAAAACCTTTTTTGAGTTCTGTTCTAATTATTGAAATTGATTGGGACAAACCCTCATGCTCTGAGTTGTTGACAGTGTATAATGATTAACTGTTATTTTTAATGAAAGTTACTGATTCAAATAAAAAAAAAGTTGGAGTGCATAGCACCACTATAAGAGAGCTAAAGGTTCTGGTAAACAGATAACATGGACCTCTACAACTCAAGGGAGAGTAGAAATATGGATGAAGAGCTCCATGGGGGGTTACAGAGAAGTTGCAAAAGGGGAATTATGGTTTCTCATGTAGAAAGATGAAATCCTCCAAGATCTTTTTGTTAGAAACGAGCCTTAGTTAAGCTGGCTTAGCACAAGTGATTACAAGTGGAGGACAAAGAAATCTGGTACCAAACAGAGCACTTTTCCCAAGCCCTTGCATGTTGTCCTACCATCTGTCACCGCCTTGTGCTTTTCTTTGCTTAATAGAGTACTCAAAGTGTTCATAAAAATTTTACTGCATAGAGCTTTAAGAGATCAGGCAACTTGCTTTACAAGACCCTAGCAATTCAGGTCAGTATTTCACAAAGTTTTTTTTTTTTTTTGCCAACCAATAGTTTGGCATGTCTATGCTCTTACAAGTGTTTTTATCAATTTCAAAATATATAATTTAGAGGCAGAAATAATTTTGGAGGAAGATAGGGTCCATGTGCATATTGGCGCTATATTTCATATAAATTCTCTCAATAATTCCCAAGGGTTTTGACCCCTGTTTTTGTTTTTCCTTTCTTTTAATTGTACGCCTTCTTGTAGGGAGTAAGGAGTGGAAAGTATACTTATCTGATACTACTTAATATTGTTGTAAATTTATAGGTGTTCCCTTTCTTTTACAGACTTTAAAAATGCACAAGTTTATATTCCCTTTTTAGTAGTAGTGCAGTTTAAGTGATTTCATTGCTGTACAGAGCACAAGTAAAGAAAACCTTTGGGTCAGTTGAAGGTTTATGTAGCATAAAGGGTTTGAAAGGATGAAGACTGTCACTTAGGGGTACCACACAATATTTCTATATTTGACTTCTCCATATTTCATTTGGTCTTTAAAATTGAATTCAAAAATCAAATAAACGAAAAAATAGAGAAAAATATCATTAGTCATATACATATATACCATGTATGGTGTAGGTGTGAGCATTTATGCATGTGGTGTGAACTTCTTACTGATAAGGGTGGCTCATTAGGTTTCAGTTCCTGATGAATTCAGAGGTGTTTTAGTGGTTCACCTATTAAGACATTGGCAGATAGTTGCAACCTCTCATAGCTTGAGACCACGAAGGTTAGCTGACTGGTTCCAACCATCATCTGGAAGACTTAAATTGAACTTTGGGGAAAGTCTGATGTATTCTGCATTGTTTCATCTCCTTAATGAATGAATTCCACTTGTTACTAAAAAAAGGAAGAAAAAAATCTTATATATAAATAGTGGACAGAAGAGGAGTACTGTAGCTGAAGCCAAATAATTTTGCTAAGACTTGGCTGATAATTAATAAAAGGAGTATCTATGGTGATGATGCGAACTCTCCAAGAATTTGCATGCAAATTTATCATACATTCAATAAGCTGAACTAGGACCTTTTTCTAATGCAATAGCTTCTGACATCTCATTCAATATGATGAACCAGTAGGACCTTTTTTCTGGATTCTTTTTTCTAATGCAATAGCTTCTGAAATCTCATTCAATAAGCTGATCCAGAAGGACCTTGGGGTGAAGTTTCAGTATTGGATGGAAGACCGATGTGTAATGTTTCATACATTCATGTTAGAAGCTGAATCCATCAATATGTTAATAATGAGCATATTATCAGTTAATGATTTTCTTTTGTTTGTTTGTCAAATACTAGTTGCTTTTGATTTTTAGTAGTTGTTTCTCTGATTGCAGCCCATGATGACACCATTGTTTATACTCTGCAAAAGTTTTCTCTCAGGTAGGGGACCTTTTGGATTGGTTTATGTGCTCAACACCCAGTCCATGTCAACTTAGACCTCAACAGTTACCATGCATTGACATCTTCCATGAGTTATATTAGCCATCATCCATATTTTAAAATATTTCTAATTTGAAAACTGCCCACAAAGACATGCTTGTTTTGCATGGATAAGGGTTTTTAATATGAAATTTGCCCAATGAATAGTGAGTGGAGAAGAAAATGCATGAGGTCTTTTCAGGACAGATTTCTATCTAGAGAAGATGTAGGAATAGCAGATTTGTGTTTTGAAGCATTTCTCAGGATAGCTAATGCTTTTATTTCTGTTTTGATCTCCTTGACCTACTCTTTCGAAGAATCTTTAGACCTGGTTTTACCTCATTGATTAACTAGAAGCTTTTTATAACTTTAATAGGCCCCTTTGACATGGTTAATAATTAAAAGAAAAGTCTATGCAAGAACATCTTCCTGCTTCTTCCTTGGTCCTTGTACCAAGGGGAAACCCTACAACATGATAGCCGCAAGTGACTTTATTTGTTGCAAATGCATGTTATTATGTATGTTTTATATTAATTTCAATTTTGATATGTTGAAGGCACATCAAGGAGCAGAAATCAATATAATCAGTTAATCTCCAAGCTCAAGATACCAGATGTTGCAAATGGTCTAAATCTGGCTTGTACTCTGTTAAATCTTGTTATCAGGGTTTGGACACAATAATTATTTTCTCTTTCCCTAGAAAACCATCTGGAGGTCTATCGTACCCTCAAAGATCAAGTTCTTTACATGGTTAATAGCTTGAGAGAGATGTCTTACCAAACAGATGTTATTAAGGGGGCTAACATACCAGACCCTCTCTGCCCCTTGTGCAGGGTAGAGGAAGAGTCTTCCAACTACCTTATCCTTCACTGCAGCTTCACTTTGCTCAATGACTTCTATGTGGAAGAAAAGTGTAGGAGAATCAAGTTTGAGCATCATTGCCATGAAGACTAGCACTGATCTTCCTTTCAATCAATGCCTTCTGGTCCAAAACCTTACCATGCAGGTAATGTTTTGTTACTTTGATTTGTCATGCATGCAAGGGCTATTACTTGGTATAATGGTAAAATCTCAGACTGGAAAGTGTGATAATGCAGGTTCGAGTCTGAGAGTGGTCACTTCGTGCCAAAAACGCCAAAGGTTAAGACGTATCCAGTCTTCTCTTATCCCTCCCAAGACCCCAGACAAATGAGACCAACATTGGGTAATGGCCTTTATCTGTGTGATGCATGTCCATTGTGCTTTCTAGTGATCAATCTAACAATCATATTCTGGAATTTTTCAGTTCACTTAGCTATTAGTAGTGGATGAACTTATGTGGACTTTATGACTTTTTCAGAAATGCCCATATATTGCTGCTCTATGTACCTCCTACGTATGCATCTGATGACTAGTAATGTAACACTACCCAACACCCCGAAAAAGCAGGCCAAATACAAAATCAACATGTTCTCAAGAGACAAAACTAACTACCTAAGAGGAGATTCTAAATTACTAGGTACCTAATTGTGCACACAGTTAAGGACCTGATTAAGATTCTAGAAGATAAGCAAAAATCTTAGCGTGGGCGTGTGTATGTCTGTGTCTGCCAAGAAAGGACATATTAATATAGGTATTATTTTATCTTTACTTTCCTTTACTACCTTTTAAATAAATAACCATGTTAGTTTAAACCAGTGAGTTGGGATTTTGAATAGAAAACTCAAAAACAGAAAATATATAATGTCTTTGGGTTATAGTAATGCCAGAGTTTCTATTTTCTAAATAGAATTTTTATTGTTTCTTGTCTAATAGTAATTATTTAATTAAAATATATAAAAGTTACTGTATTCGGAAGTCGGAACAGAACTTAACATTAATTGGTTGTGCCATTAAAAATGGATTTAGAATCATTAGTTACTAAATCTGAAATTGAACTTATTCACAATTCCAGCACCCAATCAACAGAAACCAAGTCTAGTCAGGCCTCTTCAATACAATTCTGTACTTAACCTAAAAAACAGAGCTCTATTTTGGACCCAGAACCTAGTAAACAGAGATGGGTATGCTGGACCTCGAGTAAATGGGAACCAAATGCCACACCTACAGAATAGGCGCCAACTAGACGTACTATTAAGTTGAGAACTCATACCATATTATACCAAAGAGCCCAGCCAACCTAACCCAGTGTACAGATCACTAATAGCTCAACCCATTGAATGATCAAGCTGAGCATCTGGGCATTCAACCCAATAAATAATCCAAACTAACCCTAGATTAGCAAGATAAACACATGGATCCACCAGGAAAAAAACAAAAACTAGATTCCTCTGTATGGAGACATCCCCAAATTTTTCCATGATTGACAAGTTGGCATTTTGAGATGAGGTCGAAGAGACTGAAAGCCTCATTGAATTGAACTCTGGGATCTGCTCAGAGTGGAAAAAATCTTTAGTATTTCCTATTTCAATTTAATGTATAATTTGATATATATATATATATATATACTTCAACATGCACAATCTAACTTTTATATTTGTTTGCCCTATTTTTCAGGTTGAACCAACACAAGAATGATAGAAGGCATTGTTGAAGATATTGAAGATACAATTTTTATTTTTTTGTGATTTATTACTATATGTAATAAGAATTTTGTACCTTTTTCTATATCATCAATGTATGAAACTCACATTTAAGATGTACTTTTGTTTTTAATTAATGTATTAGTTTTTATTAAATTTTATTTGAAATTTTGGTGAT